GTGCTGTTCAAGATGGAGGAATCCTGAGTCATCAGTCAGGAAGTGAAGAGGTATGCAGTTCATGATAAACAGCAATAGGTTTCTTTGCCTATGATGACCTGGTGCCATGAGACTTTATGGAGTTCAGATTCAGGCCTTTGAGCCTGTTCTGCCCTTCAGTGAGGTTTTGCCCGTTTTTCTATTTCAATACCATTTTCTTACACTGTCCCCATATTCCTTGATGGTTCAACATGCAAAAATCTATCAATCTCAATCTTGAACATGTTCAACATCTAGGCCTCCGTAGCCCCCTCATGTCGAGAATTCCAAAGATTCATTATCCTTTGAGTGAAAAAATTTCCTCCTTATCTCAGTCCTATCCTGAGGTGGTGTCCTAGATCCTTCCTCACCAGCAATTAACTATGGCAAGTATATCTTTCATGAGACAAGGAAAAAAGGAAGTATACGGAGAATGCAATCCTGAGTCTTCCGATCATGAATGGTGGTGGGCAATTCAGCAAGTCACTGCAGCAGGAGACTTCCATAAATATTCCCATTCTCAATAGTGGGGGGGCCCAGAACCTGCATGCAAACAACAAAGCTGAAGCATTTCCAATAACCTTCAGCTAAAAATGCTGAGTGAATGATCCAGCTCTGCCTCCTTCAGCGATTTCCATCATCAAAGATGCCAACCTTCAGCCAATTCAACCATTCCACTCTACTGCACTCCACAAAATCAAGAAACAGCTGAAGGCACTGGATAGTGGAAAGGCTACAGGCCCTGACAATATTCCAGCAATAGTACTGAAGACTTGTGCACCAAAACTACCCACGCCCCTAATGAAACAGTTCCAGTACAGTTACAAGACTGGCTTCTGCCCAGCAATGTGGGTAATTACACAGGTACGTCTTGCCTCGAAAAAAATCCATCCCATCAGTTTACATTTCAAAAGTGATGAAGGATTTCGAAAGTGCTGTCAAGAGCCACTTATTTCACAATAACCTCATCATTGACGCTCTGTTTTGGATTTATCAGGCCCACTCAGCTCTTGGTCTCACTTAGGCCCTGGCCTAAGCATGAGATATGAGCTGCATTCAACAGGGGAACTGATTGCCCTTGATACCAAGGCAGCATTTGACCAAGTTTGGCATCAAAGAGCCAAATCAAAACTGGTGTCAATGGGAAACGATGTTTAAATTCTCCTGTTGTTGAAATCATAACCTGGCACTAAAGAAGATTGTTGTAATTGTTGGAGGTCAGTCATCTCAGCTACAGGATATCGCTGCAGGAGATCCCCAGAGGAGTGTCCGAGGCCCAACCATCTTCAGCTGCTTCATCAATGACCTTCCCTCCATTATAAAGACCAAGGTGGCATATTCACTGATGATTACACATGTTCAATATCATTTGTAATTCCACAGATGCTGATATAGCTTGTTTATGTTTGCAGCATGGTCTGGGTAACATTCAGATTTGGGCTGATATGTAGCAAGTAACAGTTGCACCACACAAGTGGCAAGGAGTGACTATCTCCAACAAAAGAAAATCCAAATATCACCCTTTGACATTCAATGGTATTATTTTTGAACAGAAACTGAACTGGACCAGCTGTTTAATACTGTGGCTACAAGGACATGTCTGATGCTAAGAATTCTGCGATGAGTAACTTGACTTCACAAAGCCTGTTCACCATGCCCAAGGAATAAATCAGGAGTATAGTCGAATACTCTCCTTGGATGTGACCAGTTATCACAACACAAGCTCATCGCCATTCAGGACAAAGCAGCCTGCTTGATTGGCACCTTACTTAACGCCTTCAACATTCACTCTTTTCACCATTGATAGACAGACATTGTAAAAATGTGTACCATCAGCAGGATGCACTGCAATCACTCCCCAAGTCTTCTGAGATCGCACCTTCCAAACCTGTGGCCTCTGATTTGATTTGATTTATTAGTGTCACATGTACTGAGGTTCGGTGACAAGTGTTGGCTTATGTGCTTTACAAGCAGATTGTGCTATACAAGTGCATCGGGATAACAGAACAAAGTGCAGGACACAATGTTACAGCTTCCGTGAAGATAGAGAGAGAGAACAACATTAATATTATAGAGGCCCATTCAGAATTCTGATAACAGCAGGGAAGAAGCTGTCCTTGAATCTGTTCGTACGTGCATGCAAATTTTTATATCTTCTGCCGGACGGTAGAGGATGGAAGAGAGTATAACTGGGGTGGAAGGGGTCTGTGATTATGTTGGTTGCTTTTGCAAGGCAGCAGAAAGGATTGATGAAAAGGACTGGGCTGTGTTCACAATTCTCTTTTGGTCTTGGAAAGAGCAGTTGCCATATGATGCTGTAATGCATTCAGATAGGATGCTTTCTGTGGTGAATCTATAAAAATTGGGAAGAGTCTTTATTGACATGCTAAATTTCCTTAGCCTCCTGAGGAAGTAGAGGCATTGCTGTGCTTTTTTGACTGTAGTGTGAATGTCTCAAAGAACAAGGCGAGCAGATATATGGGAACACCACCACCTACAAGCTGAGCTTCAAGTCAGACTCCATCCTGACTTATCACTATATTGCCATTCCTTTAATATCACTGGGTCAATCTCCCTCCCTATCATTGTGGTATACCTACAGCACCTGGGTGAAGAAGGTGGCTCATGACCACCTTTTCCAGACCAATTAGAGGTGAGCAATAAATTCTCATCATGTGAATGAATTAAACAAAGAAAATAAAAACTTAAGTTTGCAGGCTAAAGAGTGTTGTCTAATGAAATGTGTGAAGTATGGGAGTTGGAAAGAAATCTCAAATTAAGAATTATGTACCAGAAGATGAAGTTATTTGACATAGAAACAAAGTAATAATAACAAAGATGGTATAGTGTATTGGCATAATCAGATCCTAACAAGTAATAAAATGAGCTTAACATTTGCTGTATGTAGTTACCCAGCAAACTAACAATACCCCACTGTCAGTGGGGAATGAATTGTCCACATGTTTTAGGGTTCTCCTGGTCCATTTTCACCCAGATGACAGCCGCAAAATATAACATTAGGTAAAAATAGAAAACATCATGGATAGATTTTTTGGTACAAAATGTTAGCCAAATTAAGAATGCCATAGTGACTTGCTTGAATATCGATTCTTCTTGATTTGTGCAACAACTTCTGTATCTCAAATATTTTCTAATCTGCTCTCTGGTGCAGTTGGGACTTGAACCTGGACCTCCTGGCCCAGGTAGTGACACTACCAATGTGCCACAAGAGCCTTATTTCTATATTTTACAGTTGTAAATTGAATGTCCTTTATTTATGCCATTAAATGGCTTGCTGTCACTTGCTTGCATTTTCTCTCCCATGTGTTAAATCAGAGTAATAAATTATTTCTCGATAAAGAGCAAATATATTCTATTTCATAGGACTCAGAATCAATCATCACCTCCACTTTTAATTTTTATTGAACTGTGTTAAGTTAGTTGAACACATATGCTGACATTTATCAAGTGCAATGGAAGTTTCATTGTACTTGATGAGTTTATAAATTTGGCTGTGCTTTGCATAGAAAGCTCTAAATTAAGTTAACTTTGAATTCAGTGGATTTTTTCTAATAGCAATATAAAGAATGACAATTTTATGTGCGATATACAAAAGTGATTGAGAACAATACTGCAGTTGACATATTTTGACTCAATTATGGGTTTGGGAGTTTTGTGTTTTAGGTACTATGTCTTTAAATTTAGGATAAAGTGAAGCAGGCCATGTGACTCATGTTGAAGTTTGCCAGACAACATTCTGTGTGATGTGACTGCCAAAGACACAGGGTTTTAGAAGACATACTTTGAGCTGCCCATTTGATTCCAGGGTTGGATAGAGTTAGCTAATTAATATTTCTAGCTTGAGTATAAAGAAAAGCCATTCACGCTGCTAAAGGGCAGGTACCGGGAAAGCTATCATGAAGACCAGGTTTCCAAACTGTCACTGAATATCACAGACAGGTGGGTTCGTCTCGGCGGTTCATGGCTGTACCATGGCTCGACATGTAAATGGGTCCTGCCTGGGCATGTTCCCAAAGCACCAGCGCAGATCAGAGAGGCGGCAGCTTCAGCAGCAGCAACAGCCACAGTGTTGAGAACTGGCAACTGATGTCTCCCAGACAGCGAGTAAGCAGAGGACCCATCAGAGACAGTTGAACTTTTAACTTATTCCTTTATTTGCCTAGTTTAAATTAAGAAAGACTTTAATGTTAACTATTAACTTATTTCTTTATTTTTCTACTTATTCTATGAAATAATATTTAACTTTTTAACTCTGCTTCTCTTATTGCTTTGTACCTAAGTTTTGTGTACTTGGGTACCTTGGTACCTAAGATGGCGCCTTGTGTGGGGACATTTTCACTGTATTATAAAATCTAATCTAAATCTAAATCATCTGCCAGGGTCTGGAAGGGAAGGAAGGTAACTAGAAGCTGAAAATCTGTATGGTTTACTGCACCAAAGTGTGGTAGAAGCTGTTGCATGGATTGAAAAAACCAAAATCTACGAGGAATTAAGGTAGAACCATAAGATATGCCTCGCTATTGCTAGTGGGAGGATCCCCAATAATATTCCCATCATGAATGACAGTTCTGCAGTTCGAGGTCACCAGGCTGAGAAAGGAAACATGTGACGTAAACCCAAGGAGCCAAGAATCGCTTTGGACTGATTTTGGGAGAATTGAGCATCTACTGAAAGAACAGTGTAATATAGAACTGTGAAGTATGTTTCTTCAGTTCCACTAAAACAAAGAAAAGGGTGTTTCATTCAATAAATAGCTTTTTACATTAATTATGAATGTAGTGTTTAGTCACTAGTGTTTTTTTTGTCTTGTTACTGTAAATATCTTAAAATGTGAGCTCTTGTCATGTCATCCATTCAGATATTAACTGAAAGTCTGAATTTATTTTTAAGAGCCATCAATCTCTTTGGAAACAGTAAAAAATTATGTAAGTTCTGATAACAACTTGATTCATTTTTTTCAGATCAATGGCACTTTCCTGACCACTCTGAGAACAGTTTGCAATTCATTTGCTCTCAACATTCCACATCTTATCCAGAACATTCCAGAAACAGTTCGCATTTACAAATGAATGAAAACAAGAAAGAAAATAAAAGCAGGTCACCATCTTTAAGTGAAGATGACGAAAAAGATGATGAATTAAAATTGAAGGACATATTTACATTTTCATCACAACCAAGGTCAGCTCCTCATGGCAAGATACAGACTGCTTCATCAGAATGTTTCACATGGACAGTAGATATGAAGGATGATGGAGAACCAGAAAATCCAGATAAAAGAGGAGCTCATCTGGAAGATGATTTCCATCAGAATTATGACAGTGAAGAGGTAAGCTTTGCCTAAATCCAACAACTCTCCCTATCTGCAACTTCTGTTCTAATCAATAAATATGCAGTAATTGGTGTTTGCAGTGGATGGGTGGGGGTTATTTATAAATGTGTGCAAAAACATAGTTTATTAAAAAGCGCTGTGATAAGTTTGTTGTGAGGACAAGTCTTGAGCAGCTTATTCATGTCATCTGGACAACAAGGTTTTTTTTATTGTAAAGGCAATATTTGAACAAAACTGGAAGCGGCAGAATTGCCTTGTATGTTGCTCAGCTAATTGATCAACTGAGTCCATAAACATAATGAGTGTATGCTAATGACTTTAAGGTGAATTGATACTGATGTTGCTTATATCGGAGTTGCAGTTTTTTTGACTGATAAGAGAAATTATATATAATTTACAATCTCTGAGATAATTACACAAATGGAAGATGATATGGGATTGTGAGTACAAAACTCCATTTTGGACTTAGCCCATTGATTTACAAAAAAAGTGATAATAGCTTCCTGTATGCTAAATGGCATTTATGGCATTAACTGTCATGGATACAAATCAAATATTTATGTTGCATGAAAAGGTAGCTTTTATCTTCAGAAAGTTTATTTTTACTTTTAAAAATTATGGTTTACTTTCCTGAAACATTGGATATCAAGTCAGGAAAATGCACTAATTCAATCAGTAATTTGAAACAAAACATCTTATTATGGGCACCCTCAATTTTTTGGGAAAGCAGACAATATTCCATTGAAGCATGTTGCACTGTCACAGGTGTATTTGTATTTTCATAATTGTGTTAGTCACTAAAATGTTTAAAAATCTCAGCAGAAGTCACTTCTCTTACCTCTTCCATCCAGAAGCAATTAAAACATTCAAATTTTTTGTTAAATAATTCTCAGAGAACACATCGTTCCATATTTAGTCCATATTTTCATTTAGGTAAACTTCAATTACATCAAATCAAGTTGGAAAATGAATGACTAAAAGAGAGCAATTGACATTCTTTTTAACATGATAGAAAATTTCCATAGAAAGAAGTTTGTTTCAAAAATGTGTAATAAATGGGGAATATAAGAATAATTTAGCTAAATTATTAAAGAAAATTGAGTCCTAAATTTACAATAAATGAAACTATGAATGAAGATTGATGAAGTAAAAGACGCTATTTGAGTGAATTAAAACAAAATATCAGGATAAGAAGTAGTACAAATAAAATCCCCAGAATTTATAGGCAATTGTCTGAGTAATGAGGCTGGAATTTAATTGTGAGGTTCATACTCATTCTCATGGTTTATGCATGCCAACTGAATCCTGTGATTAAATTGCAGCCTTTTACACAGAACTTATCATCCATTATTTTTCTAATGTATCTTATAGTCTCAATGGAATTGAAATAGTGTTAATGAGGATTAGTTATAGTGCATAAATGACATTGCTTGAAGAATGCAAGAGACAGTTGTAGTATCACAATTGAATAATGTTGTCATGTGATTTGCAAAAAAGTTATAGTAAGGTTTCTTTTGCAGTTTTGTATTTCCTATAGAATTATGGCAGACAGACTAAATTAATCCAGAGATTTATGATATATGTAGGTTATAAAAGGGAAACTTGAATGCTTTGTGAATATTCTTTTATATAGATTAAATTAAAGCCTTATTAGACTCCTATCGTCTAGAACTTCTTATAACATTTTATATACTAACAATATTTGACTCAGTACTGAAACTGCATAAAGGCTGTGATGTTTCAATGCTGTTTGTACTTAAAGATGGACCCACTGCTTAGTTCAGAGATAAATATACTGAGGGTATTATTTCCCATTCGAGCAAGCTGCTGAGCTAATTAAAGGAAAAGAAATATGGTCTGATATTATAATTTTTTATTATTCCATTGGCTCTAGTCAGTTTTCATAAAGGAAAAGTGACAGTAAAAGTCATAATTTCTTAGGGTGCAGGGTCCATATATGTTCTGCCAAGAATTGTTTGTGTTATGTTCTGAAATGGTATCGTTTTTTGTAACTTGGGCAGTATGACTAAATTAATAACTGTGACATCCAGGTTCACTTCAAACATCAAAGAGTTTATTGTTTTATACTGTTGGGAGAAAGATTTTGACAGTCTAGGGACTTCTTCATGAAACAAAGGGAAATTTACACTTTTTAAATCTTTGCTTTTAGCTTACGTTTACCTGTTACAAACCAAGCATATTGTTAATTGATAATATATGTATCTAATTAGGCTAATCATGTGATTGCAATTAGTCCAGGACAGCTTTAGGTCACCCCATGATCTCAGACCCCTGATCAATTATCCTTGGACCTTCACAATATATTTTATTTAACCATATTCCAGATTTAACTGCTGTGCCAGTTATTCTGTACTCCCCTGCTAATGGAAAGGTGGCTTCTTCTATTTGCTTGGACTGGATGTCCACAGGAATGCATACTTAAAAACTCAATTTTGATACATAATATTTTAATATAATTAGCTCAGAGTCTTAACTGATTTGGGTCAAACTCTTCCTTTTTATCTCATGCTGAATACCAGACTTTGGACCAGCCTGATATAGAGACTTCTAACAGCATTTCCCAAGGATCTACCATATCAAACTGGCTTTATACAAGTAGCTACACCTGAATCAGTTTCAACAGAGTCCATTGGATGCATCTCATAAGACCCTTTGTGCATTGTATTAATCTTGTTACCTTTGAAGTGTTTCTTCTATGAAGGCTATAGTTACTCGAGCTTAAGTATTTAACTTCAACAGGAGACTGTGGAAGCTGCTGTTTGAGGTTAAAATCTTCTTCAGCCATTTTATGTCAACTCAGAGCCACTCTCAGCCATCTGTGCTACTTCAGCCATGGGCAGCCCTATCAACCTAGATCAAGAAATAGTCAGGTGACCAGAGAGGGCTTTTCACTGTGAGTAGCAATTGATCTAAGAAAGTTGAGAAGCTTCTGCTGTCAGTGAAAATTATCTGCATGCAAAGAGGGTAATTGGAAATACACCATGTAGATATATTACAAATGAAGCTGTGAAATTAATTACCTTTGCAATTAAAAACTTTATTCTCCGTTCATCATACCTTTTAATTACAGTTGCTGAATCCATTTCATTCAACTTTGTATTGTTATTGATGTTGTGAATGTTTAGTGTCACTGACATCCAAAAATTAACGCAGGTTAAGAAAACTCTTTAGTTTACAAGAATCAGATTGGACTAAACATCTGCTGATGTTCAGCCAATGTACTCCAAATAATGGCATTAAGCTATATTGTGTCAAACCTGACTTGTAGCATAGATGATTGTGCGTCAGGCTTGAAAATCTTGTTTAGAAATGTAAATAATACAATAATTATGTATTTATTGCAAAAATCCCAAGGCTCAGTGCTCCTAAAGAGTTCCAAGTATTAGGAACTTCAAGTGAACTGCAAGAATCTACAAAAGAACAATATACAAGAAAATATAATGTATCTTGAAATGAACTTTTGATAGTTTCATACTATTTGATTCTCCTGTGATAAGCCTGGTCATCTAATAAGACTATATTTGGGGTTCTTTTCATTGTTTCTGTTTGGTTTCCTTGTCTTCTTCCAAGCTCCATGTGGTAATGTGTTTATTGAGAGATAAGTGTGAACTTTTACTTTGCTTTAACACTTGTGCCCACAGCCCTATTTTGTATGAATAACTAATCCTATCCCCAAGTTTGCTTCTTGATGTTGCATCCAAAGTAAATTTAAATTGTCGAAATATGCAAATAATAACTAATTAGGGATACAATTAACAATGTAGGGATCAAAATATGGGATGACTTAAGCAATCTTGTATAGTGCTTAGATGGTTAAATAATGAATATAGCAGTGTGTGAGTTGTTTATTTTGGTAGGAGGAACATAAAGAGTATTTGTTCTTTTGATGTTAAGAAATTAAGCAAGGGGTTGCAAAGATAGAAGACTCTAAGGCGTAGGAGCATAAGTAATCAATTCAATCATTGATTATGCAGTACCATTTAGTGAGATCATGGGTGATCTGATAATCTTCAATTCCACTTTGCTGCATTTTCCCCATAAATTTTGATTCCCTTAATGATTGAAACTCTGTCTGATTCATCCTTGAATATACTTAATGACTCAGCCTCTACAACCCACTGTAGTAAAGATTATCGAAGATTCATTACTCCCTGAGAGAAGAAATTCCTCCTCATAGCTGGGAATACAGATAAATATCTCACTAAAGATAACTATCATGTTGATAAAGCTATTGAAGAGAACAAACTTGAATCTTGGAATTCATTTCCAAATGAACAGAATATAAAAGTAGTGAGTTAATATAAATTTACACTGAACCTTGCTTGCACTATTCTTGGAATATGGCATGCAGTTCTGACTTCCATTGTATAAAAATTATGTTGAAGCTCCTTGATTATTTAGTATTTTTGGAATGCTATTTGAATTCTATACCATGAATTCTGAAGCAAGTATTTATATCAACTTCTCTGCCATTTCTTGGTTCCCCATTATTATATTCACAGCCTCATTCTCTAAGGGCCCATGTTGACAATGGCCCCTCACATCCTTTTTATGTATTTAAAAAATGTCTTGCTGTATATTTTTATGTTTCTCTATTTTTATGGTTCTTTCTCGTTTTTCTTCAGGTTTCTTTTTTCCCTCTTTAACATTTTTGGTCATCCTTTGTTGGTTTTTAAAACTGTTCCAATACTCTTATTTACTGCTAATCGTTACCACATTGCCACATTTTGTCTTTCAATTTGATACTGGCCTTTTTTTCCTGACTAACCATGGTCAGCTCATGGTGTTGCATTTATCTTTCAGCAAAATCATGACATGAGGGACTTATGACAATATCCACCCTGTGCCACATTCCACTCTACAAATACATTTTCTGAAACCATAGAAAGTTAATTATCAGAAGTCTGCTGGTGCTCAAGGTAACAGTGATTGTGTGTTTACTGGATTTACAAAAGATTTTTGTCACACCCTTAGCA